AAGAATCAGAAAGGAAGTCATTTACAGAAGATACCTGAAAAGGGAAGTCACTGTAACCTAGAGACTCAATACAGTGTCACAGAATAGCTGTCACATTCCTGTGTTCTCAGAAATAGTCACACATGCTTGCAAGCGTGCACACAAGCTCAAGAATCAGAAAGGAAGTCATTTACAGAAGATACCTGAAAAGGGAAGTCACCGTAACCTAGAGACTCAGTACAGTGTCACAGAATAGCTGTCACATTCCTGTGTTCTCAGAAACAGTCACACATGCTTGCAAGCGTGCACGCAAACTCACACGCACACACACACACACACACACACACACACACACACACACACACTGTGACACCCAGATTCATTTTCAAATAATCCCTTTCCCCTTCAACCGCTAAGGAGAGTCTCATCATATCAGTGATTCTGAAATTTGGAGGCTCACCCTAGCTACTATGAATCCAGTGGGGGGGAAAGGCCTTATCCAACTTATTTATTTGTTTGTAGTTCCCATCCAAGATAAATCCAGAAATAAATTAGTGCATGCCTTGAGTGCACTCCAGGTTATAACCCACACACTTGTGTTCTCACACTACAGTAAGCACAAAACAACATAGATAAACAATAGATCTATTGTTGATAGATAAGTATGCCTTGCTTCCCCCTTTGTAAATTCATCTGCAGACACTGACAGAGGGAGAATACTAGGATGATGAGAACCTGAGGCCTCTCAATAATTGGTGGGTAGCAAATACTTTCACTAATCAGAAGCAATCAGGGCAAAATGGTAGATATTAAGCCCGGGGAATTGACATTCTAAACAGCAGAAAAGTACTTCTCTCTCTCTCTCTCTCTCTCTCTCTCTCTCTCTCTCTCTCTCTCTCTCTCTCTCTCTCTCTCTCTCTCTCTCTTTCTCTCTCTGTATGTGTATGATGTACATGCAGTGTCTGCAAACACCAGAAGAAGGCATCAGATTTCCAAGATGCAAACATAGGTGATGAAAGCTATCAGCCATCATAAAATGAATGTTGGCAATTGTTGAGTGTAAAAGAGAATATCTTTAACGTGTATTTGATTTCCAGTGATGGCGAAAAGCACAGAATATCTGAATTATCTGATTTTTGTTGTTATTGATGCTGCTTTTGAGACAGGATCTTCCTGTAGCTCCAGCTGACTTGGAATTTTCTACGAAGACCAGGCTGGCCTTGTTCTCTCAGAGATCCACCTGTCTCTGCCTCCAAAGTACGGGATCAAAGGTGCGTACCAGAACACCAGGTGAATTCTCTGATTTTAACTTATATAGCCATCCTTGGTTTTTCATCTTCTAAAGAGTAGAAAGTAAGGGTGAAGCAAGTCAGAAATAACCCCACATACCATGAAATTACCTAGTTATCTTGGTCGTCCGTGCTGGGACACGGAGTCAGTGAAATGCTGATACAGCATTTCTGGGGCCTTTCTTATCAATCAAAAAGTGACACTTAGCTCTGTGAGAAAAATAGCAACCATCTTTCTTAACTTGAAGCAGTTTCTCTCCAGGCCCTCATCAAGTGAAAAACTTCCCCCTAATCCTCAGTTAAGTTCCCACCCTGCTAGTTCCTGTTTCCTTTATGACTTACTTACGAGCTGAAATGTATTCTCAAGCACTTTCCTATTGACCTTATGTGACCAAAATCCAAGACAGAGCTCAAGGCCTATGGGAACTTGCGAAAGTGGGAAGGGAAGGTGTGGCTAAGCCTAGACACATGTAACACCACCGCCTCTATTGTTTGTTTCCTACATTATGTTCTAGTGACTCTGTCCAAATACCTGACAAGAAACAACTTAAATGGGGGAGGGTTTCTTTTGGCTCACAGTTTGAGAGTATAGTCCATCATGGTGGGGAAAGCAAGACAGCAGGAACTTGCAGCAGCTGGTCACACTGCATCCACAGTCAGGAAGTAGAGACAGATGAGTGGGACTCAGCTCACTTGTTCCTTTTTTCTCAATCTGGAAAACTAGCCCATGGAATGATGCTGCCCATATTCAGGGTCTTCCCTCCTGACGTAAACCTCTGTAGAAATGAACTCATCTACAAACCCAAAGGAGTGCCTCTTCAATGCCCTGGCTGTTTCTAAATTCAATCACGGTAACAGCTGAAATTAATTATCATACTCCCTGATCTCAGCTTTGATGGGAAATACAATATTTATATATTGATTATCTGGTGTGTTACAGTGCAGGAGGCTTAAGTGTGTTCTATGAATGGAAATAACCTGAGGCTCAGAGGTCAGGCATCAGATAAGTCCACAGGAGGCCATGGCCCATAGGCAGTGCAATGCTTTTTTCATCTTAATTTGGTTATGGACAACATTCTAAGCTCTGTGTCTCAAAAGCTAGGCTACATGCTTTGTCTATGCCAGCCAGTCTCATCTCTCTTCTATCACTGTCCTTTCCTGCCCTGGGGTCTTTGAATCGTGCCCCTTTCTCTTGATGCTTTGGGCCTTCACGCTTTTAACCTTCTTCAGATCTACTTCTTTCTAGAGGTTTCCTCACTGCACCCCTTTTTTGTTCAAGACTCAGCTCCCATGTTCCACTCCGAGACAGAGGTTCATCCTGTCCACTTTCACTGCAAACAGGGTCTATCTTCAGTGCTGGTGTCTGTCTCTTTACTCATTAGAGCCCTGGACACAAACTTCTCAAGGGCATAGACCACATTTTTTTTTGACAATTATGTCTCCATTATATGTATGATATATGTAGCCCTCAGTAAATGTTTCCTGCTGTCTGACTGGTAAGTTTTTTCATTCCTTCAAAGGGCAAGTTGAAGGGCTATCAACTATAAAAAGCTATTTAAATAATTGCTGTTTTCTCCATTGAGAGGAGGAAGGGAATTGCAAGTCAGAGCTTTTATGAACTTGGATATGGAGCCTTCTCTGCTTACCTTGGGAGGGAATACTCAAGAAGGGATTGCAGAACTTTAATGGCCCCAACCCATCAAGGACTCTCCTGATGCACCCAGCTAGAACTCCCAAGTTCATTTTCAGTACACATTATGTTCATACAATAGGAAGCAGTAACAGGGAACATTGACAATCGAGACTTCATAGTTCTTAGAAAGCTGAATCAGAGGCAGGATTGTAATTGGCAGAGCCAGGCTGGGCAAGGTATGGAAGAAATATAAGCTGTCCCTGGGACCTGGGGCTCCTTCTTCAGGTTGTCAGCCCTCACCACTGTGCATGAAGTCTTTTTTGTTTTCAGTTGAACTCGGCCTCACACCTGCTAGGCAATGTTAGGTAAGGGATTTACCACTGAACTATATCTTGATACTTTTAAGAACATTTTGTATTGTCTAGTGATCAGCTCAAACCTGTGCTTGGAACCCTTTTTGTCCTGCAAGACTCTTGGAAGTATGATGCAGGCTTTTTATGGTGAACAGGCTAGAATGTTGCACATTGGGTATTGATGCTGGATAGGCAAGGAGTTAGATGTGAGGTGACAGAGGAAAACTGCAGATGGATCTAGCAGCTGTGTCTGATGATGGTCAGAATGCAACTGTGCAGTTAAATAATCTTGAGCTGTAGTTAGGTTGTTCCTATGACAAAAGAACTAAGGTTTCATGGCATTTTCCACAGCAGTGTGCTAATGAAAGTCTGCATCCTCAAAAGAACTGACACCATTACAATATCCCTTGCACCGTGGCTTTGATGCTCCCTGACTTTGTGGGTTTTAGGGGATCATGGGAAAAAAATACTGTAAAAAGGGAGATCTAGTCCCTCGTGATTTGGAAGGGCAAAAGGGTCCCTTTACCCCATGAACACGCCAACAATCTCATAAATATTCATAAAAAATCTCTAAAATCCACAACAGAGAATTTACCCGGCTTTCCCCCCTTCCCCATCCCTTGCTGCCTTGGGGCAGCCAAGTCCAATCTCCCTTTGGAGTGTTTGCTTTGCTATGCTAAATACATGTCTGCTTAAACTGTCTATTTCTCTTGGTTGAATTATTTCCTTCGAGAACACAAGAACCGGAGACTGGTGACAGAGCTCAGTAGTTAAGAGCATGAGCTGTTCTTGTAGAAAACCTGGGATTGGCTCCCAGCACCCACATGGCAGCTAACAACTGTCTGTAACTCCAGTTCCAGGGGACTGGACACCTTCTTTTGACCGCTGCAGGCATTGCAGGACATGAGTGCACTTAACATACATGCTGGCAATATACTCATACACATAAAAAATAAAAATAATAAAATATTTTTTAAAAAATAACACAAGAACTTAGATACCCCCAAAACAGCATCTGATTGAGGGTTTTACATGTATTTTTAAGGGAGGTGATAGAATGCTGATGGCAATGTGTCTATAGAATGGAAACCCACAGCTTTTCATCATACATCTGTAACTGAGCTCTATGATCAGCTCACATTTTCTAAAGTGCATTGGGAGTCAGAACTTCTAATAAAGTCTACAATTATCTTGTACACAGCACAGTTGATTTTGCATGTGTGTGTATGAATCAGGATGTGTTAATTTGATAGATGCAAACATAGTTTACAACTTTTGGCATGTCATCAGTTTCTAACCTAGTATGGAGAGCCTCCTACCAAGTCTTCAAGAGGCTCTTGTGCATTGAGTTTTCCGCAGAATCAGTAGGTGAGGGCATTGAATCTATCTCATCAAAAGGAAGAATACAATCTTCTCGTTACTCACCAAACTAAGCTTTTCCCAGAACTCAGGTCCTTCTTCCATCTCTCTGAGGCTCGGTGGAATGTACCAAAAGCAAATATTGGCATATTCAGGCTGAGGATTTTAAAAAAGTAAATGTTTTATTACCTTAATATTCATCTTATCATGCAATTAAACAAACACTTCTTAAACTCTAGGCTGTCTCTTGAAGAGTTATCATGTGTGTATAACTTTTATAACACAGTGAGACTCTTACGGAGTCGGCAGCCATTCTGCTTGAATTCTGGCAACATTTACTGGAATTTTGAATTCTGTTTCTTGATTTTTCTACCTAGAGCCTTCTCTTTCCTCTACATAGAGGGTGGGTCCAGATTAGGAAAGAAAAATTCAGGAGCTGACCCAAGACAGAGCTGTCCAACAGTTAATGCCAAATGAACAAATACTTAAACACCTTGGTTCCTCCCTCTACAACTCTGAACTCTGGCCAGGGCTGTACAGTTCAACCAGAAAGCACCTGCTTAACATACTCAAGGACCTGGATTCAATACATACAAACACAAACACACACACACACACACACACACACACACACACACACACAAACACATATTCTAGAACAGGCTATATCCCAGCCATTAACACACAAATCTCTTTCATCACTGAAGCATAATGTACGCTATACCATGCCAAAGCCATCAGAAGATTGTACTTGATGACCAGCAGTGGGTATATTATGGGGTGGATTCACAAGTGAGCCACAGGTCATGGCACGCAGGAACAACTGCTGACAATACCCACCTTTCTCACTGACTGCTTAGCGCTGACAGGATTTGAAATGTTTCTGATTGTTTCCCACTACAAATACGGTTTGTAGATAATAATGTGTTCACAGTTCTCAGTAGCCCTCAGGACGGTGCTGCAGTCCCACTATAATGCTTCCAGTACTTCAGAAAGAAGGAATAGCTATCCTCTCCTGTCTCAGCTCAAGATTGGTACTATACAGGGTTCTGATGCCACTGAATTCTAAATCAGCAATGAGCGCCCAGGAACATGTCCAGATCTACAAGATAACTTCTTAACTTCTCAGTCCACTAGCCTTCTCACTGGATTTAATAAAGAAAGAGCTACAGATCTTTAAACTACAGAGTAGTTAAAAAACTGAAGTCCTGTGTTATTTAATTCAATTTTCACAAACATTTATCATGAGACTAACATAATTTTATAAAATAAAATCTATACGATTTACCTTTGGATTTCTGATTTATAATTGATTCGGTTTCTCTAGATAGAATGTGCTGAGCTTCCAAATCCTTTGAGCATCCTTAAAGAATAAATCTTTTTAAAATAGAGTAGCTATCACAATTAGAAAGTGGAAGAAAAATATAGTTTGCTGTCACTGAATTTTAGGAATCTGTCTTTAATTTTTTTATTTTTATGTATATGAATGTTTTGCCTGCATGCACGTGTGTCATGTGTGCAATGCCTGTCAAGGTCAGAAAAGGGCATTGGATTTCTGGAAGTAGAGTTACAGATGGTTGTTAGTTACCATGTGGGTGATGGGAACTGAACCTGGGTTCTCTGTAAGAGTACCTAGCCATCTGAACAGCTGAGCCATCTCTCCAGCCCTGAGAATCTGTCTTTAAATCAAAATGCCACCCCCCCATACCACTAATGTCAGTTACACATGTATTGGCTTTCAGCTCTAATTCTACACTTTTATGATGCTCTGAAATCATGTTGCCTAGTCTGCTTTTGTGCTTTGTTTTTGGTGGGTGCTAGAGAAATGTTTAAAAGAAAAGAGGTCATTCTTCCTGATGTGGTATGTACCCATGGGGCCAGAGCAAATCTGAGGTTCTTTTTCAATAGCTGTGTGTGTCCAGATGCAAATAGACACTGCCTTAGGGGCATCTCAGGAAACTGACAGCTCTGTTTTCTAACATATGCTTTCTAGGCAGTTTCTAGGTATGGGGAGTACCAGCCCGGCACCTTGCCTGCATGACTGCTCTGGCGTCCCCTGTGGGTAGCCTGCAGCCACGGCCAAGCTATGGCTTCTCCAGGAAGACAGCTTCCCTCAGGACAAAAGAGATAGGGTTCTAGAGAATCTTGTCCAAGTGACATCTCAGTGAATTTCCCGCCATCCTGTCAGCCATAGCCACACTCTTTCCAAAGAGATCTGGCTCTCATTCCAGCGAGGAAGTGGCCTCATCTTCAGGAGAAAAGATGGTGATTCTGTATGTCAGCTCTTTCTCTATGATTTTAGGGTTCTCTTTCTTATAATACAATCTCTCATGTCTCTGGGTCTCTATTAATAATTTTATATACATATGTACAGTGTGTGTGAATATGGATAGATTTCTGTTTGCACATATGTATATATATATACAACAATATCTGTCATCTATCATCATCTATCTATTATCCGTCTATCCATCATCATCCCCATCTATTATCTATCTATCTATCCATTTGTTTTCTATTTATCAATCTATCTTTCCAATTTCATGTAACTGGGCATTTTTTTCCAGTTTCTAGATGGACCCTAATACATCAACAATTTTAAGTCATTTTCATTTGCATGAGAATATTACAAAAGATTTCACAACAGCTTTATCTGCCATGGCAGACCCTTTATGTCTCAAGTTAGGCCCTAGGCCTTTTAAGTTTATTGCCTTGTGTAAGTTTCTGTCTGTTCATATATTTCGATAATCACATATCTGTGACTTCCTTTTGCCCAAGTGCTCTCCCCTTGAACGGCCTGGTGCAGTGCTATGGCATTTGATAGAGTTTAAAGCCCTTCTGACACTTTAGCGGAGGAAATTTGATTTTCCATTTGGTTGTATAAATTCATGTTAGTCATTTCCAAACTGACTCACTTGAAAAAAGTCTTTGGATGTTCATAAAGAACATATTACATACTTGAGTTCTCTTTTCCTACTTCTTTCACTCTGTAGCTTGTATTTCATACAATGACTTCTGTAAGAGGCTTCAAAGCAGTAATAACTATTTTCAGAGCACAGTCATGCAGACACCACTTTCTTTTAATCCCCTTTATATCTGGAAGTGTGACCTTTGGGCACATTGGGAACACACTCAGTCAATGTGCTCTAAAAACCATAAAATGTAGAAGACATAAAAAGAAAACAGTGTCTGGTGGAGAGTACAAAAAAAGCCCTAGAAACAAGTACATTGTCATAATCTTTTAGATGACATTAAAGATACCAACAAATCTATTCTGATTTTCAAACAGAAGGAAATATAGATAAGTTGATGCCAATTCTAAGAAAGGTCATTGGCAAATACATTTAGTGACCACCAAGAGTTATCAATAGTCTGCTTTGTATACAACAAAGTCATCCCTGCTTTTTATAATATCAGTAGATCAGAGTAGCAGTAATCCAAAAGATATAGTATGATGTGTCTTAATAAATGTAAGTGCAGACTCTTAGCACATAGATTCAAATATTCAATCATATAACTATAGAATAAAGGAAAACTGTTGTGGTATATTTTTTAATTATTTATTGATTGACTTTTCTGTGTATGAGTGTTATGCCTGCATGTATGTAAGTGAACCTGTGTCATGCAATGCCTGAGGAGGTCAGAAGAGGGCGTCAGATCCCCTGGAACTAGAGTAACAGTTTTTAGCTTCCATGTAGGTGATGGGATTTGAACCCAGGTCTTCTGCAAGAGCAGTGTTCATAACAGCTGAACCATCTCTCCAGCCCCAAGGTATGGTAGATTTTTAACGACTTCATGTTCTTTGGTTTTAAAATCAAGATTGTAGTACTGAAAACATTTAGTGATGGCAGCAGGTATAAAATCTAGGGTTTGGATCCTCAATAATATGGATTGGAATTCCAAACTCACTAGGTCTTGTATGTTGGTGTGTGTGTGTGTGTATGTGTGTGTGTGTGTGTGTGTGTGTGTGTGTGTGTGCACTCCAGAGATCAAAGTCATTCCTCAGGCACCTTCCACTTTTTGTTTGAGACAAGGTCTCTCACTGGCCTGGAGCTCACCAAGTAGTCTAGGTTTACTGGCCAGTAAGTCCCAGGGATCCATCTGTCTACTTCTCTCCAGTGCTCAGATTACAATATGCACCACCGGATCCAACTTTTTTTGCGTGGATTCTGAGATTCAAACTCAGATCTATTTGCTTGTTTATTAAGCATGTTACTGACTGAACCATTTTCCCAGTCCCTCAGCCAGGTCTTGGCTTGAACAAATGCCACATGTTCTGGGTCTCTACTTCCTAAACTGTACTGTGGAGGATGATTTGTCTGCACCACAGGACTGGCTGGATGAACAAAAAGAGAATTTGTTTCCAGTGTTTGGAACCATATCTGCCACACAGCAGGCACTCTGTGAGGTTAATGACTATTCCTTGGGGTCATCCTGGTAGACAGAGATGTCCTTTTCAAGTGAACGAAGAGCTTCACTTAAAATCTATATTAGCTAGAACATATCACTATGTTCATTCTGGGTAGTATATATGAAGGGGAATTCTAAAATCTATAGGGTATTTAAAGAAGACCAACCAAAGTGTTCACCATCATAAGCAGAATTTTCTGTCATAAATCCTGGAGTAGACATTACGATAAGAAAATGACTTTTGCAATATACTTGAGCCCAGAAACTGAGAGACTTGTAAAGGATCAGGGTGAAGTGACCAACATGCAATGGATGAGCATTATCAATTAGAAGATTCTCATAATATAATAAATATCTCTGGTAAATGCATAGTGGACTAGTGGAAGTCAGTATCTTCAGAGGACTGGAAAATCATGGGAATGGTAGAAGGCAGAGTTTAATAGAGAGCAGTGAGAAATGGAAATGAAGTTTGTTTTACAGTGGGTATTCATGTGCCGTGCTTGGGGAGGGGGTCTTGACTTGGTTAGAGGCAGTGCAGAGTCACAGTACAACGGTACCCTAGCTACAACTTTCATTTCAGAAAAGACATTCAAGCTGCATTGTGAAGGAGGTGGGTTGAAGAGGTCTTAGACTAGAAGTGGAAGATTGCCAACCTGAGGAGCGATGGGCTCCTGAACCAAGATGGCAGCTTTGGGAAAGAAGACTAAACAGGTAAAGAGAAAGAAAAGGAAACAGAGAAAAGTGAC